CCTGAGTGCTGGGGTGTGACAGGTGTATGTTACCACTCCCAGCTCTGTCTCATTCTGGATCCCCATGGGAGAGTGAATGGGAGAGGGAGCGAAATTTTCCATAGCCATGCCCTTCCATGGGAAGTGCGAATGCCCAGGTTGCCAGTCGTTACAGACAGTCCTGTCATGACTGGCCTGCTCAGCTGGGCATGCCCAATCTTGAATTGTTTTTTGTGCCTGTTCTGTTGGGATTAAGAGGTGGGACTGGGGTCAGACACAGTCATGTGCAGATCTACTGCTAGGCCACTTCTGGCCAGTGGGCTTGGCCAGGATGTGTTTTCTATGCTGATGTTGTCTACTGCCTCAGTCTGCCTCCCACAGAGGGAGGTGCAGCGCTTCAAGGCCCTCTTCGTCTACACCAAAAACTAGTGAGGAAAGTATTTGGGTAAGAGCCCTGCCCTGTGCAGCTGCTGTGGCTCTGACCCTCCTAGAAAACTCTTCTCATGGAGGGTGGTGGCATAGGCCCTGGGGGCTAATCTGACTCAGGGAAGAACTACAGGCCTGGCATGGACTGTCCATGTCCTGGTTAGCCTGAACAGAGCCCTGTATATGCTTGTGAGGCACCATGTTCCAGAGTGGGCACATGGCAGTCAAGGCCTCTGTAATAGCTCCTGGGGGCCCCTGTCATAGGGCAGACTTTCCAAAGGCTGAGACTTGCAGTAGGCACCAGAAGAGGTGCTATGCTGAGCCTGCCCCATGATCAAGCATAGAATAGGGTTAGAGGGACAGAAGGGTTCTGTGCTCACCAGCTGCTGGCCAGAGGGCTAAGCAGCTATGGATAGGACCCCAATCCCTGATAGAAGTGGAGGACATGCGTATGTGTGTGAGTGAGTATGTCTGTGTGTGTTTATATGAATGTGAGTATGTGTATGTGTGTATGAGTGTGTGAGTACGTGTCTGAGCATATATCTGCGAGTGTGTATATGAATGTGTGAGTACGTGTGTGAATGTGTGTATGGGTGTGTATATGAGGGTGTGAGAACACGTGTGTATGTATGTGTGCAAGTGCGTGTATTTGTGTATGTATCTGTGTAAGTACGTATGTGAATGCATGAGTACGTATTTGTACATACGTATGAATGTACATATGAATGTGTATGCGAGTGTATATAAGCTTATGAGTATGAGTGCATATGTGTGCATGGGTGTGTGTGTGTGTGTGTGTGTAGTTGGGAGAGAGGAAAATATCTTGAGCCCTCTGCTTATTGCTTATTACCATGGATTCATGTCACCCCCACTCCCAGCTTGTGCACTAACCACCATGCCTTCCTCTCCATGGTGGGCCGTGTCCCCAGAACTGAGCCAGGATAAACCTTTCCTCCTTTACAGCAAACAAACAGCATCTGGAGATAGATGAGAGGACAGAAATAGAAAAGCCCGAAGGGTTGTAGCCGTCCTGGCAGGAGCTAAGACATTCTAAAGGGAGACATTGAGCCCCTCCCTTGGGCTGTTGAGACAGTGGACCCCAAGGAATTCAGATTTCCCTAGGAGTCTCATGCTGGGAAAGGAAAAGGCTGAGGCCCTGGTGCCAGGCAGAGGAGAAACTTATCTCCTGGGAAGAAACTTCACACAGTGCTGACAACTTGCAGAACTGACCGGGATCCCAGAACTGAGACAGTGATTTGAGGCCGCATTTGACAGGGACTGCTTAGCAATGCATGCTTTTTACCATTTATTTCCACCTAAACCTCATGTCGGGACTCCAAGATACACTTGCACTAAACTCTTTTTGCTCCTCTTCCCAAGGTGACCTCATTTAAATCTCCTTTTCACTGTTAGGTGTCTCTACTCAGTCTATTGAGGACAGGTGACCAAGTCTAGCTTGTTAAGGCTACCAGAGCCCAGGCCACGACCCTAACAACTCTGTTCATCCAGTTTCAACATCTCTTTTGAGAGGGGTCCTAGCCCATGATGAGTCCCAGGCCTGAGTGGGAGGGAACTCTCCCATGTAAAGCATGCCCCCAACTGGCTTTGTCATTTGTACTTCCGGGCTGTATCTGGGCTCGGCTCAACTGTTCCAAACTGTTAGGGTTTGTGGATTAGTGCCTGTGCTGAGATGCTCCTCCAGGTAGGAGGCAGGATGGCTGGGGAGATTCAGGGAACTCTGCCTTTTCTATAAGCTTCTCCCTGTCCAGCTGGAAAATCTCAACAGCTCTCTTTAGGTTGGCCCTCTGTGCAGTAAGGGGACTGGCTTTCCCCAAGGGGTGAGGACTGCACCGTGAGCCTTAGGCCTGCAGGCTAAGACCTCACTCCCCTGGCTATGTTCTTTGCATTTGATCACTTACCTTCTTGCAGCTCTGTTCTGTAAAGTAGCGATCAAGAAGGTTAAATGACAAGCTGGACTTGAAAGCACTTGCTTTATGGAAATTGCAGTCTAATCACAAAGCAGCATTTCAGGGCCAGCATTACTTGAGCTCCTCCTCAGTGCCAAGTGACTTGCAAAGCTCTATTCAACACACTTCCCTTCCCTGGGGCATCCACACCTTGTCAAAGGGGATGGGCATGTCCATCATCAGACAGTCAGGATGCTGTGTGAGAGGGTGGCAGTTGAAACGTGTCCAGAAGGCTGGGGTGGCTCTGACTATTTCTGGAGGGTCCGGCCCCTGCTTCCTGTCCTGCAGCTTGGTCCAGCAGACAGCTTGGTCCCTTGGAAACACTGTCACACCTTGGATCCTACTTAACACTGTCGCGGCCATGCGTTCAGATCAGGTCTGTACTTGTTGGTGTGGCTCAAGGGGTTCTGTTACCTCGCACTGTCTGCCCCATCCATTCTGAACTGATTTTCATTCACCGTACACACACACCCTCCCTCACCTTTGGCTTCTCACACTCCTGTTTCTGCTTGGACACTCTCTGATGTCACCCCTCAGGACTTCATTAGCGTGCTTATACTGTGACCTCTTTGTTGATGTACCCAGACCAAGGACGCCATGCCTGCACTTGTGTTGCTAGCTTTGGGGTAGAATGCTGTGTGTCTCCTCCCAGAGCTATGCTTCTGGCAATTTCTGTCCTGCTCTTTGTGGTTTCTGATTGATTGTTCTTCATGTGGTTTTGTCATTAAGAAGAAAGAGAAGGGTGGTTGGGAGGTGACAGGCACTGGAGGCAGTGATCCCCTCTGGCCACAGAGGATTGATTGATAGACTCTTGCTGGCACCATGATTGTCATGAAGCAGGTAACAGGCAGGGTCTGGAGGGAGCATGAGGCCTGAAGACCAGAGTAAAAGTGACCTAGCTTGGGGACTCTATCCTCCAAGAGTCAGGACATTCCCAGCCACCCTGAACCACAGGCCCAAGATGCCATTCTTAGCAGCCGGTCAGCATCCAGGTCTTTTGTTAATGTTACTGGGTCATAAATCCAGCTCCATGTGCTGGGAGCCTTCTTGTGTGCAAGGCTCCGTGCCTTGCACTGGGGAGGTCAAACTGAGCACAAACACTGCGGCAGTGACGGACAGAAAGTTGTGACACAGGCTAGATGTAATGAGACGTCAGTGTCCAGGGAGGGGCTATCTCCAGCCTCAGTGGGAACTTGGGCATCTTGGGGAAGAAGTGATATCTGACCTGAACCTTGAAAAGCTGGTGAGAGCTGGCTAGTTGGGACTAGAAGGGAGGCGTTTCAGGTGCCACAAGGGATGGGGAGCACAGTTGGGTGAGCACAGAAGGCAGGGAGCCTTGCTGCTGAGAGTGGGAGACTCTGGGATGGGAGGGAAGGAGAGGACTAATCAGGTCTACCCTGAGAGAAGCTCCTTTGGCAGCGGGTAGAGTGTGTTAGAATGATAGTGAAGATGGAAAACCATGGGAACGGAGGCACCAACAGTATTTCTAGCTCACGGTCAGCTAGGTTTCTAAACCAGAGGAGCAGCCCAAACCAGAGGGCTCCAATGCACTCCACAGCACCGCAAGGACAGGTGTCTAGTTCCAGGTCAAGCTCAGAGTAGGGGCCAGGAGATGCTTTAACCCCTCTGTGGTGCTGACCATGTGTATATTAAGCAAGTGCATGTACCACTGAGCTGTACCACCAGCTCCCCAGCAGACACTTTTGTTTTTGTTTGAGACAGGGTTTCGTAGAGCCCAAGCTGGCCTTGAACTCCCCATGTAGCCAAGGATGACTTGAGAGCTTCATCCTCCTGCCTCCACCTTCCAAGTGCTGGGATTACAGGCATGTGCCATACCAGAATCAGGTTTAATCCAGGACCTCATGCATGCTAGGCAAGTACTCCACCAGACGAGTCACATACCCAGCTCCCACTAGCCACTTTTTGAGAGAACAACAACAAAAATGGAAAGAGAAAGAATAACCAATGGCTACTCACAGGGTAGAGATTAGGGGTCTGAGATTAGGAGCATGGTTGAACTGGAGAATTGGGGACCCAGGAAGAGGAGCAGATGGAAGGACAGGGTGATCTACTTGGAGGTGTGGACACATTGACCTGGCCAGAGTCCTCATTCATAGGCAGGGGCCTCCTGAGATATCTCTGTACATTCTGAAAGTGGGGTTAATGTCTGCCCTTTTGTCTTGCTACCTGTGTTCTCGGAAGGGTTCTAGCCCTTTCACTACCATTTCTGCCTTCTTAGAAGTCATATCCAAAGAAACACACCAGCACTACTGTCTCAGCAATTCATTCATTAATAGCAAATTTTGCTGTGTAGCTCAGGCTGGCCTGGAACTTGTGATCCTCCTGCATCAGCCTCCTGAGTATTGGGATTATAAACATGCACCACCATGCCTGGTTGGCCCTATTCGGTTGAGAAAACAAATTCTACACAGCTATTAGGCAACAGGGCTGGAACTTGCAGCCAGCTGACAGGCTCTAGAGACCTTATTCTTTGTTCCCTTTTTCCAGTGTGTCTGGCGGTCAGCTGTGTGGGGCACCAGTTTCCCATCCTGCCCTACCCAGGTAGACTGGAGCAGAAATGAACTTCCCTTGACCTCGGCCTTATTCTCCTTTCTTGTCTTCCCCCAGATTGATAAGTATCTGTATGCCATGCGGCTCTCTGATGAAACTCTGATAGATATTCTGACCCGCTTCAAGAAGGAGATGAAGAATGGCCTTTCCAGGGATTATAATCCAACAGCCTCAGTCAAGATGTTACCGACCTTTGTAAGGTCCATTCCTGATGGTTCAGGTGGGTTTCTGCAGGATCAAATACTGAGGGCTGAATATTCTGTAAAACCATCTTCCAACTGGTATTTGTCCATGGGTCCGTTTTCACTCGTTCACCTTTCTGTCCATCTCGTTCTCCCACCGATCCATCCATCTCTCCCTCTACCCACCCACCTATTCATTACGTCGGTCCTTCTGTCCTTCCCTCTTTCCTTCCCTCCCTCCATCTATCCACTCTTCTGTCCATCCACCCTTCCATCCATCCATTCATCCATGTTGGGAGCCTCTGTTATGCAAAGTCGAAGCCCCTTCACACTGGACAGCTCATGCAGCTCGGAAATTATGTGCTGCGGGCTCCTTTCATAGCAAGATGTCTTCCTGGCATCTTTCCTGTCTCTCCTTTTGAAGTGTCCGCCACAAATGCCATAACATAAACATGGCCTTTGGTTCTAACAGGTACCATGCCTTCCTGTAATTTCTCCAGGCAGACAACAGTCTAGCAGTGTGGCAGAAATCCACTTCTATATGTAAATACAATGCCTCACAAAGCATCTAACAGCCAAAGCTTTTACCACTACCCCCATGGTATAAATGTCTTAGTCAGAGATTTGGGCTGCAGAGATTTGGGCTGCAGAGAACTGGGTCGCAGAAAGCTGGGACACAGAGAGCAGGGTCTCAGACAATAAAGCTGTAACACAGACTAAGTCTTGAGTCTTGTGTTACTACCGGCGGCCCAATCTCTCCAGGGGGCGCACTCCCTCGTGACCGGCTTATGGACATTCTAGCTTTCGCCGTCTCCGTACTCTTCCCTGCCGTGGTTCTGTGGCCAGGAACCTTGCATCCTGAGGAATAGTACACGGGTGGATTAGGGACGGGATTTCAGCTGAACAATGCTTCAGTAGCAGAGGAAGCTCCAGAGACACGGGCCCGAGCCGCCCGGAAAAGCCTACAGGGCACCCGCCGCTCCCAGAGAGCCGTGGCCAGAGACGCCTGTGGGCGACTAGCCAGGTGTGGTAGGGGCCCCGAGATCCAGGGGCCCGGAGCGATATCCACGCACACCACGCCTGAGGCCCATAGAGACACGGAGAAGCCAACGGGACCAGACCAGCTTTCTTCCAGACGCACAGCGGGGGAGTGCCATCCCAGGAGTGCGCCCAGAGAGAGCGTACCCCCCCCCACATCCATCCCTCCATATACCCACCCACCTGTCATGTGTCTACTGGGCATCTGCCACCAATGAAGCCACATTGGACAATGCTGACCTGTCCTCATGGACAAGGCTGTGTTGTGGCTTGTGACTTTGGAAGTGTGGCATTTGAGGATTTGAAGATACTGTGTAGGTTGAGCTTATGTCTCCAGAATAAACCATGAGTTCATTTTAGGAGAATCCCAAGCACCAGGCCAGCTTCCTTTGGAAGATAAGTGGCATTCCTAGTGACTGGGAAAGTGTTGGTCTTGGGGGATTTGAGTCCATTTGAGCAAATTCCCTACATGCTGAATCAAGGTACCCACAAAGCAGAAAAATGGAAAGGGGCAGATAAATTCTCTCAGTCTGCATCCCTGTGCCTCCTGCCTGACTGGGGACTATCAACACCCCTCTCCAGAGAAGTGGCATTAAACCTACCCCGGTGGAGTGGAAGCTGGGGGATCTGCAGCCTCACTTGACAGTGGTAGCTGTCTTACCCAGCCAACCCGTAGTTATTGCTCGTTCATAATATGGATGCCAAGCGCATCCCAGCTCAGCACCGACAGGAGAATCCCACTTGCAAGCTGCATCCGTATGCCAGGCTGGGGCTCACCTGCTGCACACCATGAGGGGAGGTAGGCTCTAGGTAGGTAGGTTCTAGGTAGGTTCTAAGTTTCTTGTGTGAGTTCACTCCTTTGAGTGTGGCCTCCGAACTCCTGATTATTGAGGCTTGTACGCAGATGCCAAGAAAGCCACTGTGAGCACCAAGTGCTTGGCTTGCTGTGTGTGCAGTCTGGCTGAAGCAGGCAAATCCTGGCTACAGCTGGCCTTGAGAATGTCCTCACCGAGACCTGGGGCTGTACAGCGCTTGTGTGTGTGTGTGTTTACTCTGGTGTGGATGGGATTCGCCTCCCTCATACACATTGCCGTGTCTATTTTCCATGCTTCTTTGGCTGTTCAGAAATTAAATTGGCCCCACCCATGACCTTTTGTTTCTTTGAGGTGTTGGTTACCTGCAGTTTAGCTTTTGAAGGGGTTCTGGCCAGCTGAAGGAGCCTGGGCACTGTGTCCTGGGTGTGCTCTGCTGCCTGTGGGGGAAGGGACCGTTGTATTTAGTGCTACTTTTCCCCAGCCCTGGGTGGACCCACACCCAAGAGCAGAGGAGCCTCTCTGGTCCTTGCTGAGTTCAGCTGTGCCTGCAGGGCCTTGACTGTAATTTGCCGAGGAAAAGGAGGGGGTAGTAGCTCCAGGGAACACCTGCTTGGGCTGGGCTTGGGAGAACTCTGAAGGCTACCTGATCACAGTGCCCATGGAGGCCAGAAGAAGGTGTCAGATCCCTTGGAACTGGAGCTATGGACAGTTAGCTGCCATGTGGGTGCTGGGATCTAAATCTCAGTCTTCTGTAAGAGCAGCCAGTGCTCTTATCATTGAGCCATCTTTCTGTTCCCCCCTCTCCTCCCCTTTATTTTTGAAGACAGGGTCTCATTATGTAGCCCAAGCTAGCCTGGAGCTTGCTGTGTAGACCAGGCTGCTCTGAAACTCAAAGAGATTCATCTTCCTTGCCTCCCAAGTGCTGTGATTAAAAAGGCATGTGCCACCATGCCTGCCTAATAGTAACTTAAATGTGATGTCTCTACACAGTTATACACCTATGTTGGGATACACTGTTAAGGGTTTGCAGGACTGAAGCCAGTAGCCAAGGCCCAGGATTCCTTTGGCCCATGTCTGTTTCCTTCAGTGCCGATAGGACCAAGTGCTGGATCCTCTCAGGAGCACAGACCATTGTTGACAATGAAGGAGGAGAGGAGGGGGTGAAGCCAAAGCCCTGAGCCACAGGGACCTCTGGGCCTTCTAGGTCTTTGTAGTTTGTCTTAAGGATACTGGCCATCCTGGGTTAGGGCCCACACCAGTGACCTCTTTACTTGATCATGAAGACCCCATTTCCAAATACAGTCCCATTCACAGGAATCAGGGGTTAGGATTTTAACAGATGTTTTTAGGGGATACAGATCGACTCAAGGCATATCTTTACAGCTTTTCTCCGGATGAGATGACTAATCCTAATATTGATGGGTGGGCTTAGTTCGTGTACTCTAGAATGGTCCCTACAGCCATAGACATTGGTCCCAGCTCAGTCCATGTCCCTTTGAGAAGTGAGATGCTGCCTCCTTCACCACCCCTCCTCTGGGCTCCCTTGTCCTCTAAGGACAGGAAGATTTCCTGATGTGATCCAAAAGCAGGTCCCTAACAGGAAGCCCGAGGTGCTGTTCCCGTTTTGAAATGTTAATCACTCTTCCATCGTGGTAATTAGTGAGCCACAGAACCAGTGTTAATCCCAAACCAGGGCTGGAGAAATGGAGCTCTCCAGACATAGAGCTCAGGTGATGGGAAACGCAGCCTGGGATGGGAGATGTGTGGCTTTCATGGCAAAGGGAGAAGAAACTGGCCTTCCCACTCCCACTGTCATTGACCCTGTGAACTGGATTGAGCTTTAAAACTACTGATTTTTCAGGAAGATTTCTGGAGTCATATCTGACCCACATTCTAATATATACTGGGCCTTTTTTATGACCCCTTCTCTTTTTGACATTATTTTTCACATACATTAATTATATCTAGTAATTGGTTTCATGCTGACATTTTCGTACACATATGTGATGTATTTTTATTGTATTTGACCCCTGCCCCATCACCTTCTTGTTCAAGCCCCACTCCCTCTAATTCCTTTTCTTCTTAGCTTTGTTACATTTCCATTACAGGGTTTTGTTTATTTGTTTTGTTTTGTTTTTGAGACCCATCCTATTCGTTTAGGGCTTCCTAGAGGATCCTGGATGAGGAGTTATTTACAAGAGCGTGAGCTCCCTGCCAGTGGTTACACTTGAGGAAAGTGTCCCTGCTGTCCCCAGCAACCATTAACTATCTATAGATGCTTAGGGGTGGGGCCTCATGAGCCCCTCTCCCCTAGCTACCATTGTATCTGCTATAAGTTCTCAGGGAGGGGCGGGACCTCATCCCTTCTCCCTCATGGCTGGATGTTGGCAGGCCCAATCTTGTGAAGGTCTTATGCTGATTGACACAACCTCAACCTCTGTGAGACCCAGACCACAGCTCTGCTGTCCCCCCCCCCCCCCCCCCCGCCTTCTCCAGCTTTTTTACATTCTTTCAGCTCCCTCTTCCTGTGATGTTTCCTGGGCCTTGGTGGGGTAATGTAGGCATGTTCCATTTATGGTTGAGCAGTCAGCAGTCCCTTTTGGGGACTGTTTTGCCAGGTGTGAGTCTCTAATTACTGTTACCCACTGTGAAAGGGAGCTTCTGAGGCCAAAGGTGCTGTTGGCAGCATTAATCTATAGGTATAAATACTTATTTGCAAGGCAGTGTCCCATTGTACATTTAAAAAATCACTTAACTATTTGTATTTTGTGTGTATAAGTGTTTTGCCTACATGTATGTCAGTGCACCACAGGTACAATGCCGGCAGAGGCCAGAAGGAGGTATTGGATCCCCAGAACTGGAGTTACAGATGGTTGTTAGCTGCCATGTGGGTGCCAGGAACTGAACCTGGGTCCTCTGCAAGAGCAGCCAGTGCTCCTAACTGCTGAGCCATCTCTCCAGCCCCACGTTGGATGATTTTTTAGTGGACATTGTTTCTTGTTGAAGTCCTCTGAGTCAGCATTGCTGACTGCCTCATTTATGCAGCCCCCTCTTTCCCCCGTATTTAGTGCCAAGGATATTGTAGATACAGGTAGACTGTTTCTCCCTCACAGTTCCTGGCACAGAAGAAACCAAAATATATTTCCTGGAACTTAAGGATATTTTCATCCTTTTTCATGCAGAAC